GGTTAATAGAATTATACACGCTTTCTAAGGGTATAATAGTTAATAAGGTAAGGAACACAAGGAAGTGTTTGACATGGTTGCCAAGTAAGAGCTGTTCATTGGATAATTGCAGTGATTATTAGTTAAAGAGAATAATAATCCCTGATGCACAGAGAATTATAAATAGCCTCAGAGATATATGGAATTGAATGCCCAGTTGATTAATATTCATTGAAATTTGAGGGAGCATTGTAAAATAACCCTCTGTTGAATTCATAAAGATTGCCCAGGCCCTATTGGCTTGTTGACAACCACACAGAAATAAGTAATCGATTCACAATCTGTTGGATTTTTCCAGACTCCAGATGCACCACAGGGTACCACTGCTATAAACCTGATAATAGTAGCCTACTGGTATATCATTGCTAAATGGTGGGAAATTGACAGGTACTTTTGGATCTGTCAAGCAGAGTGAAGTAGAAGCAAACACAAATGGCAATCAAATATGTATTTTTAAGGCATGGTTTTGATCAACAACATTGCAGTGACTCCAGAATAATGACCTTAATGACAGCATAGTTTTGATCAACAACATTGCAGTGACTCTACAATAATGACCTTAATGACAGGAGTGGTGGAAAAAGTACTCAATTGTCATACTTGAGTAAAAGTAAAGATACCTTAACAGAAAATGACTCAAGTAAAAGTTACCCAGTAAAATACTACTTGAGTAACAGTCTAAAAGTATCTGGTTTTAAATGGACTTAAGTACAGTGGTAGAATAAGTACTCAATTGTCATACTTGAGTAAAAGTACAAAGTAAAAGTAAATGCTATACATCAAATTCCTTATAGTAAGCAAACCAGACGGCACGATCTTCATATTATTTTTAATTACGGACAGACAGGGGCACCCGCCAACACTCAGACATAATTTACAAACACAGTATTTGTGTTTTGTGAGTCCGCCAGATCGGAGGCAGTAGGGATGACAAAGCGTTATATTGATAGGTGCCATAATCCTATCCTGCTTGAGCATTCTAAATGTAACGAGTAGCAAGACTTAAAAATTGCTGTCTAGCCATTGTCATCAACACATTTTAGTCATTTAGCAGACGCTCTTGTCCAGAGCGACTTACAGTTAGTGAATGCATACATGTTTTGTTTTTTTATACTGGCCCACCGTGGGAAACGAACCCACATCCCTGCCGGCCAAACCCTCCCCTACCTTGGACGACGCTGGACCAATTGTGCACCGCCCACGGGTTTCCCGGTCATGGCCGGCTGCGACAGAGCCTGGACTCGAACCAGGATCTCTAGTGGCAAAGCCTTAGACCACTGCGCCACTCCGGAGTCAACACCTTGACAGAGCTTGAATAATTTTGAAAATAATAAGGGAGAGATATTGCACAATCCAGGTGTGCAAAGCTCTTAGAGACTTACACAAGATGACTCACAGCTTTAATTGCTGCCAAAGTTGTTTCGAACATAATATTGACTCAGGGGGTGGGGGTGGGGGGGGGAGGGGGTGGGTGATTTACAATATCAAGGTACATTTGTGTTTTATTTTTCATTAATCTTAATAAATAAAATGTACAAAATCTTTTATTTAGACAGAGTATTTTGTGTAGATCATTGACAAAAAAATGACGATTAAATCAATTTTAATCCCACTTTGTAACAATGAAATGTGAAGAAATCCAAGGGGGGTGAATACTTATGATGGGTAAATGTCATCAAATAAGTTAACAAGTACAGTTAAAGCTTAATTACATATGACCATATTATATGTAAAAGTGCTAAGCCTTCTTTAAATTTGCTAGAAAAGATAAGACTATCAAAACCGCCATTGTCTATGCCATAATTGAACTTTGAACGCTTGAAGAAGAGAGGGGTGTGGCTACCTATCTGAAACAGGTTTATGGCAGCCCTTGGCCTGTGAGCAAGTTTGAAGCCTGAGCTGTTTGCATGTGAAAACTAGAATCCACACCCTCCATCCACACAGTGCTTCTCATGTTGAGACACCTCCCGGTCTTTGTTACTTTCAGTTGGCAGATATCAGCTTTTGCTCAAATACGGCTAAACAGTCGGCAGAATTGAAAAATGCAGTACGGGGATTTATTGGGAAACTACAAGAGGATTTTTCTATAACATGTAAGTAACTACTATAGAGTTTAACATTAGACTGTTGTGATATGGAATGTACAGTATGCTTTAAAATATTTAAATGGACTAATGAATGAATAGCAAGACATATGGACTACTATGCATAACAATAAGCATCCCTATTCATCTAAATAGTTTCTCATAGCAATTAGTGATTCTTTCAAAAATCAAGTAAACACCCTGCGTTTCTCGCACGAACACTTGTCTTTTGTTAATAGCACTGACAGCTACTTTGTTGAGGAAAAATTGTACTTACATGTACGTCATTTAGCAGATGCTCTTATCTTAGGGTTAAGTGCCTTGCTCAAAGTTAGTGAGAGGTTAATGAGAGCAGCAGCAGAGTCACAGCTTCCTCTACACACATTACTCTAATAGCGTGTTAAAGGCCTCCTCACAGTGACAGCTTCCTCTACACACATTACTCTAATAGCGTGTTAAAGGCCTCCTCACAGTGACAGCTTCCTCTACACACATTACTCTAATAGCGTGTTAAAGGCCTCCTCACAGTGACAGCTTCCTCTACACACATTACTCTAATAGCGTGTTAAAGGCCTCCTCACAGTGACAGCTTCCTCTACACACATTACTCTAATAGCGTGTTAAAGGCCTCCTCACAGTGACAGCTTCCTCTACACACATTACTCTAATAGCGTGTTAAAGGCCTCCTCACAGTGACAGCTTCCTCTACACACATTACTCTAATAGCGTGTTAAAGGTCTCCTCACAGTGACAGCTTCCTCTACACACATTACTCTAATAGCGTGTTAAAGGCCTCCTCACAGTGACAGCTTCCTCTACACACATTACTCTAATAGCGTGTTAAAGGCCTCCTCACAGTGACAGCTTCCTCTACACACATTACTCTAATAGCGTGTTAAAGGCCTCCTCACAGTGACAGCTTCCTCTACACACATTACTCTAATAGCGTGTTAAAGGCCTCCTCACAGTGACAGCTTCCTCTACACACATTACTCTAATAGCGTGTTAAAGGCCTCCTCACAGTGACAGCTTCCTCTACACACATTACTCTAATAGCGTGTTAAAGGCCTCCTCACACTAAGTGGATATCTTCTTTCTTAACAAGCTAATGCAGGTAAGGTATCTTCCCACTGGGCACAGACCTCAGTTCAAAATCTATTTTTGATTTACATTTGGTTGAGTTGAAATCAACAAAAAATGTCACCATGACATTGGACTTAGGTTAAAAGTTGTGTGAAAAAAATACAAAATTCCCTTATGTTGATAACTTTTAGCAAATCCAATCAGTTTTCCACAGTGATTCAACGTCATCACATGTATTTTTTGGGGGTTGAAATGACGTGTAAACAACGATGATTCAACCAGTTTTTGCCCAGTGAGTTGGTGCTTTAGGGTCACAATTTAACGGCAGTTGATTTGTTATTATGATTATCAATATCTAACCCGGGTGCAGTTGAAACAAGTGGCTCATTAGTATGCTGATTTGGTACAGCCGTTTGCAAGGCATTCATGGGCTCTAGCTAAGGGTGGTTATAGCTGTCATGTTTAACATTTATTATGTTTAACAACTTGATAAGCCTGAATGACATGTCATATTATGCTTCCAAACGAGCGTTTGTTTTCCACGCTCGTTCAAGGTTAAATAAATCCGCCAGGCAATTTGGGTGTAAACAGGGCAGCCCCCAAATAACTGAAATATCTTCAATGTAATTTGATAGCTTCAGGTAAGGTGAAAGTCAGAGGATGTCAAATAAACACCTTTAATAATTTCATTACCCCCACCCTTTGATGTCTGTAGACAGGCTGGAGCCGAGTTGGAATGTTTGTATTTCTCTGCTGTCAATTAGGGAACCCTGCCATGCTCTACATCAATGCTTAATAACATCTGGGTTTAAAGGAGATCTTAAAGGGATAGTTCTGGATTTTGGCAATGGATATCATTTCTATGTCTCTGCGCTCAGTATGCAGGAAGTTTGAGGTAATTTTGAGAGCCAGTGCTAACTAACTTAGCGCAAAGACTGGAAGTCTTCGGGTACAGCTAGTCTTTGCGCTAAACTAGTTATCACTGGCTCACAAAATTACCTCTCTTGAATGGTATTCATGAGTTCATCTCTCTGGAGAAGTAGATAAAGGGCTTAATTGCCAAAATCCAGAACTATCCCTTTAAGATCTCCTTTAAACCCAGATGTTATTAAGCATTGATGTAGAGCATGGCAGGGTTCTGTAATTGAGAGCAGAGAAATACAAACATTCCAACTCGGCTCCAGCCTGTCTACAGACATCAAAGGGTGGGGGTAATGAAATTATTAAAGGTGTTTATTTGACATCCTCTGACTTTCACCTTACCTGAAGCTATCAAATTACATTTAAGATATTTTTCAGTTATTTAGGGGCTGCCCTGTTTACACCCAAATTGCCTGGTGGATATATTTAACTTTGAACAAGAGTAGAAACAAAAGTTGTTGCTTTTCATCCTGCAAAATGCAGGATGCATAATATAATGTCAGCCCATTATCAAAACGTCATCCTGTCACGTTTTTGCTAAAAGTTAGGCATCAACCAATTGATGCTTATGTAAACTGGCCATGCTCCCAGCAGGATTTGCGGTGCCAATGGGAAAAGATGAGCGTCAACCAATTGATGCTTCTGTCAATACATTGCATTCAATGGGAAAAGATGAGTGTCACAGGGTTGATGCCCCAAAGCTTTACAATGATGGTGAAAACTTGGGGCAATCTTGGGGTTAAGCAGGTTAAAATCTTCCTAGAAGTTGGACAAACATGACCTGGGAAATGCCTAAATGTGTATTTTCAGTGAAAACACAATTTATTTAAAGGAAGACACACTAACTACCACATTGTTTTTCTAACGCCTTGCTTCTTGTCTCTTTGACTTCAAGCATCCACCATCTAAACAGAACGCACTAAGCCACCGTTATGATGGATTCCCAACAATTCTCCCTGCTGTCATCCTTGAAGGAAGAGTTGAAGCCTGAGGATTACATTCAGCCCCACTATAAGGAGGCCTATCGCCTTGCCATTGATTCCCTGGTGAATGAAGGCAGAGAGAGCTACCAGGAGTTCCTCAAGGCCGAGCGGATAGGGAGCTTCCTCTCAGAAGATGAACTCCACTTCATCACTACAAACGCCTCACAGCCATTGCCTAGCAACCACACAAAAGAAATTAATGGCCCAGCTCCGGACACTCCGGCCAGCAAGTCTTCAACTGGGACGTACTGGCCTGTGCACTCAGACATAGCAACACCCGACCTGGAGTTAGGGTGGCCAGAGGTCACGCATGATAGACTGCAAACCAATATAGATCTGCTCTTCCATCCACCCAGACTAAACAGCCCCACCATCAAAGAGGTGATCCGTAAACAGATTCAAGATGCCAGACAGGTAATTCTGCAATGCATTGTGTCATCAACAATGGCAATGCTTATGGTGACAGCTCCTTTTTAAAAATAAATTATCATTATTATTATAATTTTAAAAAAAACAACGTATAGCACCTTTGTGGACTGATAGTACAAAGCCTAATTGTTGCACAAAACTGTCTGTTCTTCAACTGTGACTGTCTCTTTCGGTGAACGTGCTAGCTCCTGAATCACAAATTGAAACAATTCCAGGACAAAATGATTTACAGCACAACTCCCTTTTCTCCCAGGGCAGAATTATACACATATATTTCCTTTTCACTAGACAGGAGTGTCTGAGGGGGTGTCATTTTTATTTTTACAACTTACCTTCATGAGTAAAAGTATAGGTGCAGCTGCAACGAAAACTCACTCAGTATCCTTGAATGTTAGGTAATTCTTGTAGTTGTGGGTCAAATCCTGAGATTAGGCCATGTCCAGATAATCCTGCTTCTGACCTTTGTTCTCTGTGTGATCCACAATACATTTTCAGACTACCATTACCAGAAATAGCAATGCAAAGATCAATACTTTTACCTTATGTTGCACAGCAGGACAGCAGGACAGTACACAGATCATGGATTGCCTGCAGCTGTCATGCAAGAAATCTGTCAATGTTGTGTTCAAAGAAAGGACTGGTTGTACAGGCAGTCATAACTACACTCTCAGAAAATAAAGGTACCGAATTGTACTTAAAGGGCTACAAATGCTTGTCACTGTAGTGCTACCCTGTAAGGTACATCCATTGTACCATTAGTTATAAGTACATAATTGTACCCTTGCAGTTTGTACCTCAAAAGAGCCAAAAATGTACCTATTCTCTATGCCCTCATGTCCCTCATGTGTACACGCCTCTCCGCCATCAAACTTCTGACACCAATGTAGCAAATTTAGAGGGTTTCCCCAACCAGTACTCAAACCTGGGTCTAGTGACTGTCAAGCGAAGATGTCTGTACCTCTTGACTAGCTCACTCAGTGTTGGGTTAAGGTCGCTACAATGTTACTTACAGCTTTTTATTGTCACTTATTTAAGCCTTTATAAAGACTTCAGAACTGGCAGCGGACATGCTCAAACTTTAATGAACATAACCATAGACCACTTAAACTGGTACAACACTTCCACTCACGGGTGGCCCAAATTAACTAACTGAAAGCCACACCCCCACTAAGCCCCACACCTCCAATTATTGTACCTTTATATTGATAATATTTGGTACAAAAATGTACCATAATACTAGATTATCCCTACATGTGCCCTAAAAGGTACCAAACAATACCATGTGAGACCATATGTGTACCTCTGAAGGTACATTGTGTATTTTCATCTACTGTACTTTGCTCTAACCATACCCTTTATTCTGAGAGTGTACTTTGAATCCTATCATGGAGCCATATAATCTGTTGACTATCCAATGCCAAACCCCTGATAATTATATTTGCTGCTTCATCCGCATCAGTCAAGGATGTGTTCTTTTGAACATTTACAAATATTCTATCAGAACACTCAAGCTATAGTTTTACTGTGGTTTCGTCTACGTTGTCTAGCTAGTATTAGCTACAAGTATTCCAAGTACATGACCAAAAGTATGTGGACACCTGCTCGTCGAACATCTCATTCCAAAATCATGGGCATTAATATGGAGTTGGTCCCCCCTTTGCTGCTATAACAGCCTCCACTCTTCTGGGAAGGCTTTCCACTAGATGTTGGAACATTGCTGCAGGGACTTGCTTCCATTCAGCCACAAGAGCATTAGTGAGGTCAGGCACTGATGTTGATGTTGCACTCACTAACTGTAAGTTGCTCTGGATAAGAGCGTCTGCTAAATGACTAAAATGTAAAAATGTTGCAACCAAAGACACATGATTTTTACGCGCTTCAGCACTCAATGGTCCCGTTCTGTGAGCTTGTGTGGCCTAACACTTCGAGGCTGAGCTGTTGTTGCTCCTAGACCTTTCCACTTCACAATAGCAGCACTTACAGTTGACCGGGGCAGCAGAAATTTGACGAACTGACTTGTTGGAAAGGTGGTATTCCTATGACGGTGTGACATTGAAAGTCACTGACCTTCAGTACGGGCCATTCTACTGCCAATGTTTGTCTATGGAGATTGCATGGCTGTGTGCTCGATTTTATACACCTGTCAGCAACAGGTGTGGCTGAAATAGCCAAATCCACTAATTTGAAGGGGTGTCCCGATACTTTTGTGTATATGGTGTATTAGCCAGAGGAGATGGGTGTGTATATAGGTAAATCTTCCATCCATGTGTCAAACCAAGTCCTACTTGTCACAGGAAATATGGTAAACACAGAGTGACAGTGTCCTTGTGACCACACACTTACTAAGTTACCGTTTGAGATACTATACAATATAGATATCACTAGCATAAAAGGAAGAGTCAGCACAATGTGACATTTGCTTCAAAGTGTGTATATTATGTTGTTGTTTTTTTTACCAGGTCTAGGCACATACAGTATATTACAGTGTGCTGAATGTGTTTTTTTTTGTTGTTGTGATGGTCATGTTGTATCCGGACTGTAAAAGGGTGCCCTTTAAAGGTACTTTTAGTGACCTTAAACAACATGTTTTTACCAAACTGTAATATGTCTTAGTCATCAGGTAGTATCCATTATATCTCCACATAATGCAGTTCTGATTACCAACAAATGGATAGAAAGCTGTAACATGAGTCAGAGACAGATCCTACAATAACACGTATAGAAGGATGACAATATCACACAGCCTTAACCACCATCTAATGAGCTCCTGAAGTACCATTTTTGTCACCTGTACTTTGTTGGCATCACAGTCTCCAAAGGGTCACAGTAATCACACAGAGCTCCTGAGCTTACAGTAAAGCCTGATACTCTAATTAACAGTTCATCAGCACTAAGGTCTATACTATATAATAGTATATAAATGGTATACGAATAATTGTTTCTGTACTTCTGGTTCTAATTTGTTATTTTCCCTTCAGGTTATTGCAATTGTAATGGACATTTTTACAGATGTGGATATATTCAAAGAGGTGGTTGATGCCTCCACCAGAGGAATTCCAGTTTATGTGCTTCTGGATGAATTTCATCTGCAAAGCTTTCTCTTAATGGTTGAGAATCAAGACATCCAAATCCCAAAACTTAGGGTAAGTTCAGATACTCTGCTACAATGGTAATGTATGTAGGTTGAGATGTACATGTATCGACTGATTGTCCTCTCATCGTATAAACAGTATTGATTCAACCACTGACGGTAGGCCCTCAAAATGACAGACTGAAGAAGTCAAAAGTCTCACTCCTCCTGCTTTTGCAGGGCGAAGCAGTTTACAGACCGAGGTATTTATTATCAGAGGGATGAATCTATGCGAAGGGGCATTGAAGCTGCTCTGGCTCGTGGTGGCCCAACGCCCTATTAACACACTTTATGTTGGGGTTTCCTTTATTTTAGCAGTTACCTGTATGTATTACCAGAGGGATGAGGCATTTTGGATGCGGCAACAACACCCTTTAAGTATATTCACAAAAGTGCGACAGGTAGTCTAGCATTTAGAGTGTTGGGCCAGTAACCGAAAGGTTGCTGGTTTGAATACCCGAGCCGACAAGGTCAAAATCTGTCGATGTGCCCTTGAGCAAGGCACTTAACCCCAATTTGCTCCAGGGATGCCGTACTACTATGGCTGACCCTGTAAAACAACACATTTCACTACAACTATCTAGTGTATGTGACAAAAACCTTTCCATATATATATATATATATACACACATACATACATACATACATACATACATACATACATACATACATACATACATACATACATACATACATACATACATACATACATACATACATACATACATACATACATACATACATACATACATACATACATACATACATACATACATACATACATACATACATACATACATACATACAGTGGGGAGAACAAGTATTTGATACACTGCCGATTTTGCAGGTTTTTCTACTTACAAAGCATGTAGAGGTCTGTAATTTTTATTATAGGTACACTTCAACAGTGAGAGACAGAATCTAAAAAATCCAGAAAATCACATTGTATGATTTTTAATTTAATGTAATTGTAATTAATTTGCATTTTATTGCATGACATAAGTATTTGATCACCTACCAACCAGTAAGAATTCCGGCTCTCACAGACCTGTTAGTTTTTCTTCCATGAGGAAGGTGAGGGATCAGCCCAGAACTACATGGCAGGACCTGGTCAATGACCTGAAGAGACCTGGGACCACAGTCTCAAAGAAAACCATTAGTAACACACTACGCCGTCATGGATTAAAATCCTGCAGCGCACGTAAGGTCCCCCTGCTCAAGCCAGCGCATGTCCAGGCCCGTCTGAAGTTTGCCAATGACCATCTGGGTGATCCAGAGGAGGAATGGGAGAAGGTCATGTGGTCTGATGAGACAAAAATGTAGCTTTTTGGTCTAAACTCCACTCGCCGTGTTTGGAGGAAGAAGAAGGATGAGTACAACCCCAAGAACACCATCCCAACCGTGAAGCATGGAGGTGGAAACATCATTCTTTGGGGATGCTTTTCTGCAAAGGGGACAGGACGACTGCACCATATTGAGGGGAGGATAGATGGGGCCATGTATCGCGAGATCTTGGCCAACAACCTCCTTCCCTCAGTAAGAGCATTGAAGATGAGTCGTGGCTGGGTCTTCCAGTATGACAACGACTCGAAACACACAGCCAGGGCAACTAAGGAGTGGCTCCGTAAGAAGCATCTCAAGGTCCTGGAGTGGCCTAGCCAGTCTCCAGACCTGAAACCAATAGAACATCTTTGGAGGGAGCTGAAAGTCCGTATTTCCCAGCGACAGCCCTGAAACCTGAAGGATCTGGGGAAGGTCTGTATGGAGGAGTGGGCCAAAATCCCTGCTGCAGTGTGTGCAAACCTGGTCAAGACCTTGTCAGGGTTGAGTGTAGAGGTAACGTAGAATCACACGCAGGACACACAGAGGTTCGAAACAGATGTCTTTAGTGAAGTCCAAGAAACAAGCCAAACACGGCAACAGGCCACAGGCGAACTTTACGCACAATGGTAAGTACAAAAATAAATGCGCACAAAGTGCGGGACTCTCTCTAACAAAACGATACAGAGAGAACAGAACAACGAACTAACACAACACGTGACATCGAACAATTACACACAACACCTGACCAATCTCAAGAGAACTAAATAGGACGCATAATGAACACTAACAAGGAACAGGTGATACAAACAGACAAAACCAATCAAACATAGAAACATAGAACGGTGGCAGCTAGTACTCCGGAGACGACGACCGCCGAAGCCTGCCCGAACAAGGAGAAGGAGCAGCCTCGGCCGAAACCGTGACAGACCAACAGGAAATGTATGATCTCTGTAATTGCAAACAAAGGTTTCTGTACCAAATATTAAGTTCTGCTTTTCTGATGTATCAAATACTTATGTCATGCAATAAAATGCAAATTAATTACTTAAAAATCATACAATGTGATTTTCTGGATTTTTGTTTTAAATTCCGTCTCTCACAGTTGAAGTGTACCTATGATAAAAAAAATTACAGACCTCTACATGCTTTGTAATAGGAAAACCTGCAAAATCGGCAGTGTATCAAATACTTGTTCTCCCCACTGTGTGTGTATATATATATATATATACACACACACACACACACACATATACATACATACATACATACATACAGTTGAAGTCGGAAGTTTACATACACCTTAGCCAAATACATTTAAACTTAGTTTTTCACAATTCCTGACATTTAATCCTAGTAAAAATTCCCTGTCTTAGGTCAGTTAGGATCACCACTTTATTTTAAGAACATGAAATGTCAGAATAATAGTAGAGAGAATGATTTATTTCAGCTTTTATTTCTTTCATCACATTCCCAGTCGGTCAGAAGTTTACATACACTCAATTAGTATTTGGTAGCATTGCCTTTACATTGTTTAACTTGGGTCAAATGTTTCGGGTAGCCTTCCACAAGCTTCCCACAATAAGTTGGGTGAATTTTGGCCCATTCCTCCTGACAGAGCTGGTGTAACTGAGTCAGGTTTGTAGGCCTCCTTGCTCGCACACGCTTTTTCAGTTCTGCCCACAAATGTTCTATAGGATTGAGGTCAGGGCTTTGTGATGGCAACTCCAATACCTTGACTTTGTTGTCCTTAAGCCATTTTGGCACAACTTTGGAAGGATGGTTGGGGTCATTGTCCATTTGGAAGACCCATTTGCGACCAAGCTTTGACATCAGTCAGGTAGTTTTGAGATGTTGCTTCAATATATCCACATAATTGTCCTTCCTCATGATGCCATCTGTTTTGTGTAGTGCACCAGTCCCTCCTGCAGCAAAGCACCCCCGCAGCATGATGCTGCCACTCCCGTGCTTCACGGTTGGGATGGTGTTCTTCGGCTTGCAAGCAACCCCCTTTTTCCTTCAAACATAACGATGCTCATTATGGGCAAACAGTTTTATTTTTGTTTCATCAGACCAGAGGATATTTCTCCAAAAAGTACAATCTTTGTCCCCATGTGCAGTTGCAAACCATAATCTGGCTTTTTTTATGGTGGTTTTGGAGCAGTGGCTTCTTCCTTGCTGAGCGGCCTTTCAGGTTATGTTGATATACAGTGAGGGAAAAAAGTATTTGATCCCCTGCTGATTTTGTACGTTTGCCCACTGACAAAGAAATGATCAGTCCATAATTTTAATGGTACGTTTATTTGAACAGTGAGAGACAGAATAACAACAAAAAAATCCAGAAAAACGCATGTCAAAAATGTTATAAATTGATTTGCATTTTAAATGAGGGAAATAAGTATTTGACCCCTCTGCAAAACATGACTTAGTACTTGGTGGCAAAACCCTTGTTTGCAGTCACAGAGGTCAGACGTTTCATGTAGTTGGCCACCAGGTTTGCACACATCTCAGGAGGGATTTTGTCCCACTCCTCTTTGCAGATCTTCTCCAAGTCATTAAGGTTTCGAGGCTGACGTTTGGCAACTCAAACCTTCAGCTCCCTCCACAGATTTTCTATGGGATTAAGGTCTGGAGACTGGCTAGGCCACTCCAGGACCTTAATGTGCTTCTTCTTGAGTCACTCCTTTGTTGCCTTGGCCGTGTGTTTTGGGCCATTGTCATGCTGGAATACCCACCCACGACCCATTTTCAATGCCCTGGCTGAGGGAAGGTTCTCACCCAAGATTTAACGGTACATGGCCCCGTCCATCATCCCTTTGATGCGGTGAAGTTGTCCTGTCCCCTTAGCAGAAAAACACCCCCAAAGCATAATGTTTCCACCTCCATGTTTGACGGTGGGGATGGTGTTCTTGGAGTCATAGGCAGCATTCCTCCTCCTCCAAACACGGTGAGTTGAGTTGATGCTAAAGAGCTCGATTTTGATCTCATCTGACCACAACACTTTTACCCAGTTCTCCTCTGAATCATTCAGATGTTCATTGGCAAACGTCAGACGGGCCTGTATTTGTTATTTCTTGAGCAGGGAGACCTTGCGGGCGCTGCAGGATTTCAGTCCTTCACGGCGTAGTGTGTTACCAATTGTTTTCTTGGTGACTATGGTCCCAGCTGCCTTGAGATCATTGACAAGATCCTCCCGTGTAGTTCTGGGCTTATTCCTCATCGTTGTCATGATCATTGAAACTCCACGAGGTGAGATTTTGCATGGAGCCCCAGGCCGAGGGAGGTTGACAGTTATTTTGTGTTTCTTCCATTTGCGAATAATCGCACCAACTGTTGTCACCTTCTCACCAAGCTGCTTGGCGATGGTCTTGTAGCCCAATCCAGCCTTGTGTAGGTCTACAATCTTGTCCCTGATATCCTTGGAGAGCTCTTTGGTCTTGGCCATGATGGAGAGTTTGGAATCTGATTGATTGATTGCTTCTGTGGACAGGTGTCTTTTATACAGGTAACAAGCTGAGATTAGGAGCACTTCCTTTAAGAGTGTGCTCCTAATCTCAGCTCGTTACCTGTATAAAAGACACCTGGGAGCCAGAAATCTTTCTGATTGAGAGGGGTCAAATACTTATTTCCCTCATTAAAATGCAAATCAATTTATAACATTTTTGACATGCGTTTTTCTGGATTTTTTTGTTGTTATTCTGTCTCTCACTGTTCAAATACACCTACCATTAAAATTATAGACTGATCATTTCTTTGTCAGTGGGCAAACTTCAAAATCAGCAGGGGATCAAATACTTTTTTCCCTCACTGTAGGACTTGCTTTACTGTGGATATAGATACTTTTGTACCTGTTTCCTCCAGCATCTTCACAAGGTCCTTTGCTGTTGTTCTGGGATTGATTTGCACACCAAAGTATGTTAATCTCTATGAGACAGAACGCGTCTCCTTCCTGAGCGGTATGACGACTGCATGGTCCCATGGTGTTTATACTTGCGTACTATTGTTTGTACAGATGAACGTGGTACCTTCAGGCGTTTGGAAATTGCTCCCAAGGATGAACCAGACTTGGGGAGGTCTACAATTTTTTTTCTGAGGTCTTTGCTGATTTCTTTTGATTTTCCCATGATGTCAAGCTTTGAGGCCTCAGTTTTGAAGGTAGGCCTTGAAATACATCAACAGTTAGACCTCCAACTGACTCAAATGATGTCAATTAGCCTATCAGAAGCTTCTAAAGCCATGACATCATTTTCTGGAATTTTCCAAGCTGTTTAAAGGCACCGTCAACTTAGTGTATGTAAACTTCTGACCCACTGGAATTGTGATACAGTAAATTATAAGTGAAATAATCTGTCTGTAAACAATTGTTGGAAAAATTACTTGTATCATGCACAAAGTAGATGTCCTAACCGACTTGCCAAAACTATAGTTTGTTAACAAGAAATTTGTGGAGTGGTTGAAAAATGAGTTTTAATGACTCCAACCTAAGTGTATGTAAACATCGGACTTCAACTGATATATATACACACACTACCAGTCAAACGTTTGGACACACCTACTCATTCAAGGTTTTTTCTTTATTTTGACTATTTTTTACATTGTAGAATAATAGTGAAGACATCAAAAGTATGAAAATACACATCATGTAGTAACCAAAAAAAGTGTTAAACAAATTAAAATATATTTCATATTTGAGATTCTTCAAATAGCCACCCTTTGCCTTGATGACATCTTTGCACACGCTTGGCATTCTCTCTACCAGCTTCATGAGGTAGTCACCTGGAATGCATTTCAATTAACAGGTGTGCCTTCTTAAATGTTAATTTGTGGAATTTTTCCTTCTTAATACGTTTGAGCCAATTGGTTGGGTTGTGACAAGGTAGGGGGAAGCCCTATTTGGTAAAATATCAAGTCCATATCATGGCAAGAACAGCTCAAATAAGCAAAGAGAAACAACAGTCCGTCATTACTTTAAGACATGAAGGTCAGTCAATACGGAACATTTCAAGAACTTTGAAAGTTTCTTCAAGTGCAGTCGCAAAAACCATCAAGCGCTATGATGAAACTGCCTCTCATGAGGACCGCCACAGGAATGGAAGACCCAGAGTTACCTCTGCTGCAGAGGATAAGTTCATTAGAGTTACCAGCCTCAGAAATTGCAGCCCAAATAAAGAGTCAAGTAACAGACACATCTCAACATCAACTGTTCAGAGGAGACTGTGAATCAGGCCTTTATGGTCGAATTGCTGCAAAGAAACCACTACTAAAGGACACCAATAAGAAGAAGACACTTGCTTGGGCCAAGAAACACGAGCAATGGACATTAGACCGGTGTAAATGTGTCCTTTGGTCTGGAGTCCAAATTTGAGATTTTTAGTTCCAACCGCTGTGTCTTTGTGAGACGCGATGTGGGTGAACGGATGATCTCCGTATGTTTATATCCCACCATAAGTCATGGAGGAGGAGGTGTTATGGTGTGGGGGTGCTTTGCTGGTGACACTGTCTGTGATGTATTTAGAATTCAAGGCACACTTAACCAGCATGGCTACCACAGCATTCCGCAGTGATACACAATCCCATCTGGTTTGGGCTTAGTGGGACTATCATTTGTTTTTCTACAGGACAATGACCCAACACACCTCCAGGCTGTGTAAGGGCTATTTTACCAAGAAGGAGAGTGATGGAGTGCTGCATCAGATGACCTGGCCTCCACAATCCCCCGACCTCAACCCAATTGAGATGGTTTGGGATGAGTCGAACCGCAGAGTGAAGGAAAAGCAGCCAACAAGTGCTCAACATATGTGGGAACTTCTTCAAGACTGTTGGAAAAGCATTCCAGGTGAATCTGGTTGAGAGAATGCCAAGTGGGTGCAAAGCTGTCATCATGGCAAAGGGTGGCTATTTGAAGAATTTGTTTAACACTTTTTTCATTACTGCATGATTCCATATGTGTTATTTCATAGTTTTGATGTCTTCACTATTATTCCACAATATAGAAAATAGTTTAAAAAAATAAAAAATGGAATGAGTAGGTGTGTCCAAACATTTGACTGGGACTGTATATATATATATATATATATATATATATATATATATATATAGTGGGGAAAAAAGTATTTAGTCAGCCACCAATTGTGCAAGTTCTCCTACTTAAAAAGATGAGAGAGGCCTGTAATTTTCATCATAGGTACACGTCAACTATGACAGACAAAATGAGATTTTTTTTTCTCCAGAAAATCACATTGTAGGATTTTTAATGAATTTATTTGCAAATTAAGGTGGAAAATAAGTATTTGGTCAATAACAAAAGTTTCTCAATACTTTGTTATATACCCTTTGTTGGCCTTGACACAGGTCAAACGTTTTCTGTAAGTCTTCACAAGGTTTTCACACACTGTTGCTGGTATTTTGGCCCATTCCTCCATGCAGATCTCCTTTAGAGCAGTGATGTTTTGGGGCTGTCGCTGGGCAACACGGACTTTCAACTCCCTCCAAATATTTTCTATGGGGTTGAGATCTGGAGACTGGCTAGGCCACTCCAGGACCTTGAAATGCTTCTTACGAAGCCACTCCTTCGTTGCCCGGGCGGTGTGTTTGGGATCATTGTCATGCTGAAAGACCCAGCCACGTTTCATCTTCAATGCCCTTGCTGATGGAAGGAGGTTTTCACTCAAAATCTCACGATACATGGCCCCATTCATTCTTTCCTTTACACGGATCAGTCGTCCTGGTCCCTTTGCAGAAAAACAGCCCCAAAGCATGATGTTTCCACCCCCATGCTTCACAGTAGGTATGGTGTTCTTTGGATGCAACTCAGCATTCTTTGTCCTCCAAACACGACGATTTGAGTTTTTACCAAAACGTTCTATATTGGTTTCATCTGACCATATGACATTCTCCCAATCCTCTTCTGGATCATCCAAATGCACTCTAGCAAACTTCAGACGGGCCTGGACATGTACTGGCTTAAGCAGGGGGACACGTCTCGCACTGCAGGATTTGAGTCCCTGGCGGCGTAGTGTGTTACTGATGGTAGGCTTTGTTACTTTGGTCCCAGCTCTCTGCAGGTCATTCCCTAGGTCCCCTCGTGTGGTTCTGGGATTTTTGCTCACCGTTCTTGTGATCATTTTGACCCCACGGGGTGAGATCTTGCGTGGAGCCCCAGATCGAGGGACATTATCAGTGGTCTTGTATGTCTTCCATTTCCTAATAATTGCTCCCACAGTTGATTTCTTCAAACCAAGCTGCTTACCTATTGCAGATTCAGTCTTCCCAGCCTGGTGCAGGTCTACAATTGTGTTTCTGGTGTCCTTTGACAGCTCTTTGGTCTTGGCCATAGTGGAGTTTCGAGTGTGACTGTTTGAGGTTGTGGACAGGTGTCTTTTATACAGATAACAAGTTCAAACAGGTGCCATTAATACAGGTAACGAGTGGAGGACAGAGGAGCCTCTTAAAGAAGAAGTTACAGGTCTGTGAGAGCCAGAAATCTTGCTTGTTCGTAGGTGACCAAAAACTTATTTTCCACCATAATTTGCAAATAAATTCATTAAAAATCCTACAATGTGATGTTCTGGATTTTTTTTCCTCAATTTGTCTGTCATAGTTGACGTGCACCTATGATGAAAATTACAGGCCTCTCTCATCTTTTTAAGTGGGAGAACTTGCACAATTGGTGGCTGACTAAATACTTTTTTTCCCCACTGTATATATATATATATATATATATATATATATATATATATATATATATATATATATATATATTCAGGCTTTGCATAAAACAATGTGTTACCATAGAACGGTATTGGTAACATTCCACTGACTCTCTTGGTCTACAGAACATGAAAGTACGGACAGTGAAGGGTCATGATTATCTCTGCCGTTCAGGAGCTACATTTCATGGAGCAATGGAGCAGAAGTTTCTGTTGGTGGACTGCCAAACAGTGGTGTACGGATCGTACAGGTAAATGGAGCTAGGAGCCCAGGGAGAATACATGTCCAATAACCTGACCCTATTGTTGCTCTTAGTGCAATCCAGGTTCCTTGAGACATCCCTACCCTAACCCTAACCTTTACCTTTACCATATCAAACACAAAAAAAGTGTTGAGGTAGAGGCTGATAAATTCCTAGAATACCTATGGGTAACAGGATAAGGCAATGTTACATTTTTTAAAAACTTTAGACAGCCTAAAGGCTTATCTTCGATACAATAAGTCAGCATGAATTAGAGATGCTAAGGGTTGACAGCAGACAATTTACTGATATTGTGAAACTGTCTACCTCAGTTGACCGTGTACAGTTGGCTGAGCTAAAAATGGCTGTTATAAAATTTTCACTGAAGTAATTACTGCTCTCTGTTTATTCTTCTCCACCCAGCTTCATGTGGTCCTATGAGAAAATCAACCTGAGTATGGTGCAGGTCATAACAGGCCAGCTGGTGGAGTCCTATGACGAGGAGTTTCGAACGCTCTTCGCCCGTTCCTTCGTGCTAGCAGTTCTCATCCCTCCCGAGACTGTGCTACTAGAACGGAATGGAAGACATGCCCAGGCAAAGTATGCTTCTGAATCCAGACAAGCCTTTGAGAGGAAGGACCAGTTGAGACATACCCTGGACACAGTGTACAGGAAAGCCTGTGAGAGACAGACGGGCATGACGAGCCCTATCCGAGAGATGGAGGAGAGACTCTATGACAAGGAGCCATTTGAACACCGACCCATGATCAATCACGGCAAGAGTGTTCAAAACCGCGTCCATCAGTTCCAGTCTGCAGAGACTGTGAACTTCCTGAAAAGGCACAGTTATGCTGGGGAGAGACAAGAAGTCTTGTATGTTCCACACAACACAAGGTATGGGGCAAGCAACTGGAAAGTGGCTGGAGATGGAGGTAATCACTGTGCTCCTGGAAGAAGCCACTTTTCCAATGCTATGGAAGACCATTCTCAGGGGGCACAGATATACAGAGGTCGCAATATTCGCCAGTCCTTCCACGGGAATGACAAACAAGTCCGCTCCATGCAGCGGAACATGCCAACTTTGAAGCACACGGCTAAGTCCTTCTTGCACACATATAGGATAGAGTCTTACCTCAATAACACTGATGATCCTATTGGGGAATCCTGTGACTATCTGGACCAGTATGAAGCTCCGGAAATCAAAACTAGCTCATTGATTCCTTACAGACTTAAGTCATCCCTTGTTTTCAAGTCCACTATTCCAGAGAAACCGGAGACAAACAGTCACTCAAGCAGCTCTTCCATACGTCAGGTCAACCCCTCTGCAAAGCCAAATAATGCACCGTATTACTCCTCAATGCAATTGCAATGGAATCCAGCAACATCGATGGAAAACAGAATGAGACAAGATGAATACATAATGAAAAGGCGGAGTCTGCAGATTTTGGATGATCCTAGGAATAACATTGGCTATGGCCCAGGAAGAGACCCACATCAGTCGGTCTATGCCAGCCTGGGAAGAGCCAAAGAGGGACTGGTAATCAAAACCCCTGAGCTCCTTCAAGACAACTGGCACAAAAGATACAGTGTGGCAGACTCAAAGTCCAACGGTGACTACAGAGTCAATAAAGAGTTATCCAGTCACATGTATGGTGGGGCCTTTGTGAGGAGTCAGCCAGATGTTGGTGGAATAAGAGTGGGTACACAGAACGGAGGATATTCTTCAAATCTGAACAAGGATCAGAGATCTGTCTCTCATTATGACGTCAAAAACGATGTGGACACAAAGAGCCCCCCTGTTTCCATTTGGCAAGAGCCTCCCTCCAGAACTGTGTCTGCAGCAGCCCTTGATATGAACAGCAAAGAGACTCCCTCCAGAACTGTGTCTGCAGCAGCCCTTGACATGAACAGCAAAGAGCCTCCCTCCAGAACTGTGTCTGCAGCAGCCCTTGATATGAACAGTAAAGAGCCCACTTACAAGTCCACCAGTACGGCATTGGGTTCACCACGTTTCCTCAAGAAGAGCTCCAAGCAAATCAGATCATTGCTCAACATACCAAAGAAAAAAGAGGGTTCCCCTAAAGGGGGTTTCCCTAAAGGGGGTGGTAGCTCAGACACCATAGTGACTGAGGAAGAGGGGCAAAGACCAGACAGAGAGAGGAAGGTTGCACCACAGAGTAGCACGGTACATCCAACCAAATCCCCTACCAGGCTTCAGATGGACAAGAACCACTGTGCAGATGATATAGGACTATCCTCAACCCCTCGTTTTAGCACTGAAGAGCTGCACCAAAACCTTCCTGCCAGAACTACATCCACGGGGACACAGGGGCAGCACACTTCCATTGATAAAAGGCATGAAAGGGCAAGCCTTGCATCAGGAAACTGGCGTAGCGATCGGGGTGGCGATAGTCGTTTGTATAGCAGATTTGAGCCTTTCTGTTCATTGGAGAAGGAGCCACCCCACTCCTCACAATATGTAACAGGCCCTGCTAAAAGTAGCTCCACCAATGAACAACACAACCACAGTGGCCAGCAGATACATAGCCACCATGAAAACAAACTGGGCAAATTCATTCAAAGAGTGGGGCATTTCATTCACAAAAATAAGTAGTAGAAAAGAAAGTTAGCATCTTGAACCAATACATCATGGATTACTGGTCAAATTTACAAAACGTTTCAAGGGCCCAATCAAATGGTAGGCAGAGTGGAAACAGAGTACTGCACTATTTAACTTGAAAACTGCTTACATGAAGAGATGACATCCTTTCAGGACTCTTTAAAGCAGGGCTGACCAACCCTCTTCCTGGAGATCTACTGTCCTGTAGGTTTTCAGTCCAACCCTAATTTAGTATTTCTGATACAGCTAGTTAAGGTCTTGTTGAGCATCTAATAAGTAGAATCAGATATGCTAAATTAGGGTTGGACTGAAAACCCACAGGACGGTAGATCTCCAGGAAGAGGGTTGGGCAGCCCTGCTTTAAGGCAATGGCAAACAGATTTTTACTTGAATTAAATGTTGATGTTTAGATTATTGGTAACACTTTCTACGAAGCACAAAGATATGAGTGTGGGGGGATATCACAGACTGTGAAATCAATTCAGGGGCCCACAGTGTCAGTTGGAACAGCAGCATGGCCAAGTGAACAGGGGATAGGGACCACAGGAGGTTGGTGTCAGCTTCATTGGGGAGGCTGGGCTCATGGTAATGGCTGGAGCGGATTTGGTGGAATGGTATAAAATACATCAAACACATGGTTTCCACGTGTTTGATGCCATTCCATTTGCGCCGTTCCAGCCATTATTATGAGCCGTCCTCCCTTCAGCAGCCTCCACTGACAGGGACAGCCAGGAATTGGCAGGCCAGGTTGTCCCGAGGCACAGTCCTAGGGCTCTGGTCCTTGCGGTAGGGGAGACATAGAGAGAGCTAGAGGGGAATTAGTGGTCAGCGGCAGGGAAGCTGAGTGGGGAGCCAGCCAAGCAGAGACAGAAAGGGTGGCTCGTCACTCCAGTACCTTGACGTTGATAAGTCTTCAGTCCAAGACTAAATGAGGTAAGATAAAAGTGTGTGCGTGTGTGTTTGTACACTTCAGTGTGGGGAAACACTGAACACAAATTTGTTAAATATTTGCTCTTCGAGTCCAAGAGAGCTATAATATGTTATGCTTTTTGGTCTTTAATACATCAAAGATCTATATTCTTCATAATACATCAAATGCATGAGCATAAAAAAAAAAACCTGAACTAAATCAGCTGCTCGATGGCTGTGACGAGAGACTAAAAGTTAACAGTGTGTTAAATAGGATGCACTCATTTCCATATAAAACACATTAAATGTCATCATTACATTTTAAAGATGTCTGTCACAATAAAAGCTCCTATTTAAAAGAGTGAAAACCAACCATTTGTTAGCCACAATATCAGAGAAACATATCCAGGGTACAGGTTTTACGGTGCGTACGTGTGAATTGCATGATAGGCTGAATTAGTTAATTTGTCAAAACCTAATGCCGTTCTTGTCATCATTGCAGTGTCTGGGGTGTTTTGATGAATAGCTTTCTTGGAAAAATGTCTTGGCAAAATATGCTTGGATTTTACAGGTGTTGTGGGAAATGCAGTGGTATTATGAGGGAGTAATTTAAGGAAATGTACATTGTGTGTCTTTGTAAATATGTGAAATATTTGAGCTGTACAAACACAGAACATTTTTGGTTTAAAATAATATTTGCTTTTTCCAAACAAATGTGACATTGTGTTTTTGTTACCTTTGATCCTTTGCTGTATAACCTACCGGGCAGTGCATCCTACAGTACCACTATTAGGTTAATTATTTATTTCAGTATGCTTAAGCTACGGAATAGTTTTTTGGTCAGGTTGTATGCGTTAGTATTCAACCCATTCCTCTGACAAACTAAAGACAATTTCACAGTCAACATGGTACATGAGCATGACTTGAATAGAGCACAGCATTATTTTTGCGTTTTGCATTCCACTGATTCTGGACTATTTGAACCATGCCTTTTCATACTTTCAGTAGACGGGGTTCCTACTGTCACTAAGTACTTCAAGAACTCAATCGTTCACATCACATAGAAAGCGTTCAATGTGATGTTCACAGAGTGTATGCATGCAGGTATTCAACTGCTTGTAATTCATATGGGAATAATTGTCATTGCATCAGGTATACAAGAAAACACATTCAATATAAAATGGGGGGGGGGGGGGGGGGGGGGGACATATGATGGAGTGAAGGTTGAGAATTGTTTTATATAAACTTTTTTTTATCTGTGTTTGATAATAGGATGTTGGTGTTTGCTCTCTTTAAGGATATGTGAACACTTGGCCCTTTTAATATTTGAATTTAATTATCTGTAGTTGCCCTGTGTTTTCTGTCTTTAGTAACGATGAGAATAGATATTGTACAACAGATCTGTTATAATTTAGGTCTGAATTATGTCTGAATTATGAGATTGTAGTCTACAAGAGGTTGTATGATGTCAAGGGCTGAGGTGTATGGTGTGTGGAAGTCAGGCGCAGGACACCGAAGCTAGTCCAACAAAGTTTACTGAAGTAATCCAAATGGCAAAATACAGAGAACGGCCTCAACAATAAACAGAGGCGAGAAAATACGCAAACTGTGCGTAAAACAAAATGACACGAAAACAGGAACAAAACACGCAGCACAACGGACAGGCAAAAAACAACACACAATCTAGCCTAAGCAAAACAAGGAACTTATAGGACAAGTAATCAACACACAACTGGACACAGGTGTAAAAGACAGACGAAAGCAATCACACCAAGAAACATAGAGCGGTGGCAGCTAGTACTCCGGGGACGGCGAACGCCGAAGCCTGCCCGAACCAGGAGGAGGAGCAGTCTCGGCAGAATCCGTGACAGTACCCCCCCCTTGACGCGCGGCTCCAGCCGTGCGCCGACCCCGGCCTCGGGGACGGCCAGGAGGACGCGGACCCGGGCGCGTGGGATGCCCACGGTGGAACTCAGTCAGGAGGGATGGATCGAGGATGTCCCTCCTGGGCACCCAGCACCGTTCCTCCGGACCGTACCCCTCCCACTCCACGAGATACTGGAGACCACTCATCCGGCGCCTCGAGTCCAAGATGGTCCGGACCCTGTACGCCGGGGCCCCCTCGATGTCCAAAGGGGGCGGAGGGGTCTCTCCTATCTCATCTTCTTGGAGTGGGCCAGCTACCACCGGCCTGAGAAGAGACACATGGAACGAGGGGTTAATATTTTTGTACTCAATGGGCAGTTGTAACCTGTAACACACCTCGTTCAATCTTCTCAGGACTTTGAAGGGCCCCACAAACCGCCGACCCAGCTTCCGGCAGGGCAGGCGGAGGGGCAGGTTTCGAGTCGAGAGCCAGACTCGATCTCCCGGTGCGTACACCGGTCCCTCACTGCGGTGGCGATCGGCGCTCGCCTTTTGTTGACGGATGGCACGCTGCAGATGGACATGGGCAGCGTCCCACGTCTCCTCCGAGCGCCGAATCCACTCGTCCACCGCAGGGGCCTCGATCTGGCTCTCGTGCCATGGTGCCAGGACCGGCTGATAACCTAAAACACACTGGAAAGGTGTTAGATTGGTGGAGGAGTGGCGGAGAGAGTTCTGGGCCATCTCTGCCCAGGGGATGAACCTAGACCACTCCTCCGGCCGGTCCCGGCAATAGGACCTCAAAAACCTACCCACATCCTGGTTGACACGTTCAACCTGCCCATTGCTCTCTGGGTGGTACCCCGAGGTAAGGCTTACCGAGACCCCCAGGCGTTCCATGAACGCCCCCCAAACTCTGGAGGTGAACTGGGGACCTCGGTCAGACACAATATCCTCGGGGACCCCATAGTGCCGGAACACGTGGGTAAATAGGGCCTCAGCGGTCTGTAGGGCAGTAGGGAGACCCGGCATTGGGAGGAGACGACAGGCCTTGGAAAACCGATCCACAACGACCAAAATGGTGGTATTCCCCTGGGAGGGGGGTAGGTCGGTCACAAAATCCACCGATAGGTGGGACCATGGTCGTTGTGGAACGGGCAGGGGATGTAACTTACCCCTGGGCAAATGTCTAGGCGCCTTACACTGGGCGCACACCGAGCAGGAGGAGACATAAACCCTCACATCCCTAGCTAACGTTGGCCACCAATATTTCACGCTAAGGCAGTGCACTGTCCGGCCAATACCTGGATGTCCAGAGGAGGGTGATGTATGAGCCCAATAAATCAGGCGATCACGAACCTCGAGCGGGACGTACGTCCGCCCCACAGGACACTCGGGGGGAGTAGGGTCGGTACGCAGTGCCCGCTCGATTTCCGCATCGACCTCCCACACCACCGGTGCCACCAAACAAGACTCCGGCAGTATGGAAGTAGGCTCAATGGACCTCTCCTCTGTGTCATACAGCCGGGACAGGGCGTCTGCCTTACCGTTCTGGGACCCTGGGATGTATGTGATCTTAAAAACAAACCGGGTCAGGAACATGTTCCACCTAGCCTGACGAGGGTTCAATCTCCTAGCTGCCCTGATGTACTCCAGGTTACGGTGATCAGTCAGAATGAGGAAAGGGTGTTGAGCCCCCTCAAGCCAATGCCTCCACACCTTTAGGGCCTGGACTACAGCTAACAGCTCCCTGTCCCCAACGTCATAGTTTCGCTCCGCCGCGCTGAGCTTCTTGGAGTAGAACGCACAGGGGCGGAGCTTAGGTGGCGTGCCGGACCGTTGTGACAGGACTGCCCCAATGACGGCCTTGGACGCGTCTACCTCTACTTGGAATGGTAAAGAGGGATCCGGATGCGCCAGCACCGGGGCCGAGGTGAACAGGTTCTTCAGTTTGGCAAATGCCCTGTCCGCCTCAGCTGACCACTGCAACCGAACCGGACCCCCCCTTTAGCAAGGACGTAATGGGAGCTGCTACCTGTCCAAAGCCCCGGATAAACCTCCGGTAGTAATTAGCAAAACCCAAGAACTGCTGCACCTCTTTGACAGTAGTTGGAGTTTGCCAATTACGCACGGCCGACACACGGTCTACCTCCATCTCCACACCAGACGCGGACAACCGATAACCCAAAAACGAGACGGACTCCTGGAAGAACAAGCAT